GATCCTGGATATGTACCCGAACATGGCGCGAGTCATAGTTTTAGGGCTAGATCTAGCACTAGTACAGGTGTTGTTGTTCGCGCAAAGAAATCACAACGTCGTGCTGTACTTCTGTCTCATGTAATTCAGTGTATGGCTCTGAATCATCAACGCACAGACCCGCTTTCACCTAACACTCACACATGCCTACAAATCTAAACAGAACACTTTGAACTTTTATTTTTGTTATTGTTGTGATTTTCATTCTACCTGTCACGTCTCTGAAAATTTTTCAAAAGATCAAATTATTATTTTTAAATCACACAAATTAAAGTATTAGACTTAGACAACTTTACTTTTTTGTATTAGAATAAGCTTGAATGTTACTTTACTGTGTCAAAAATTAATTACAATAGGGTAATTCTGAGAGTTGAGGTGGTTTATTGAAATACTCCCAAAAACGCTTGTGAATGGTGAAAGGACACAGTAGTAAGTGAGTTAAATAACCTAATAGTGTTGCAAGAGATGTAAAGACCTTTACAATTTCAGTTTCAGTTTTGTGGGTAATATTGATGGTGCTGTGAAAAATTGGTGCTCACTTGGCTGTTTGTTAGACAAGTTCTCTTTATGAACTTGTGAAAAATTTTGTTCACTTGGCTCCGAGTGCATGCTACCAATTGAATTCATTTTATTCAGTTTGGGGCAGCCAGATTTTTTTTCCCGCGGAAACAAATGATGCGAATTTCAATCAAATTCGATTAGTGACTTTGTGAAAAACAAATAGATTTCATTTTGATGGTCTCAGTCAAATTTGGTCTAATTGTGCCAAAATGGCAGCTTTTGCTCCATCCGTATCTGTCTGGCACCAAGTCAAATTATGATTTCAATTGGCGGAGTGTACTGGGCATTAGATGCCTTATGCTTATGTAATGAGTTGACTATTTTGTGAAAAACTGCTCTTCGCTCAGCTCACTGTTTATGAGAAGAAGATTTCTGTGGAATTCTCTGCATTGACTTAGGTTAATTGGGACCATTTTTAGGGCTCTTCACAGACTTCTGGTGTGATAGAGGCCCCATATTGTAAATGGCCCATGTATCTGTAAGCGGGAAAATGTGTTCTTGCAAACAAGGTACGGACTGAAGAGATTTAGATTTACACAGACTGGTGATTGCTACAATATTGAAGTACCAGTACTCTATTTTACGGAAGACAAAAACTGCATGTAAGAATTTATACAGTTGAAAAGAGAAAGGCTCTGTTCTTTTTCGCAATTCAAGCTGAAAACTTTCGTTGGAGGTATGACTGAAGGTGCCACAGTCCTTTCAAGGTAGACTTTCAGTACACGAAAGATACCGAATAGTTAACAGTGGTATTTAATTTCTCAATAAAGTTACAATAGCAAAAAGTCATTTTTCTGCATGTGTGTGTGTTTTCAGGCTCCCTGGTCGACTATCAAGATGGCTACGTGGGTTGCATGCGTGGGTTGCGGGTCAATGGAGTGCTCATGGACATGAGTGCCAAACTGGCAAATGGAGAAGTGTATGGCGTGCGGGCTGGTAAGGCTTTTTTTGCTTTTGGAGTTGGTTTTGGGGGGGGGGTTGTTTGGTTTTTTTTTGTTTTTTTTTCATTTTGTTTTTCTTGTCTTTTTTGTTTTGGTTTCTTTATTTTAAAAAAAAATTTTTTTGGGTCAAAAGAAAAGGTCAGCCCCCTACCCCCATTTTGATCTGTCCTCTTTTTTTTTTTTAAATGTAGGTGTTTTATTTTTATGACTTCATTAACATAGTTTAGATCATTGATGACTAGCAATGACATGTTTTTAAAAATTGTGTGTTTTATTATAACATCACCTATTTGTTCTTTGTATTTGAATGACTGAGAAAAGGGTCCAGATGTTGCATAGTTTTTTATGTGAGAAAAATGCAAATGAAGTGAAAAATTGTATTTTTGGGAAGGTGAGACTGTTCTTTTCTCTGTGCCAGGTGATTGTTACTGGGTCAATCTATTTCATTTTAATGAAAGCTCATCAAACTTAAAACTTTTGTTTGTGTGTGGTTGGCTGGTGCTCTGGTATGGTTTGCTCCGTCTTTCCTTTCCAACATCTGTTGTCCTTATCTCTCCTCCTTTTTTGTGTTTGTTTCTCTCTTGTAACACCTGTAATCTTCAGCACTTATATGACCTATTTTTGTAGCAAGTGCTGTAAAACTCTTGTGAAGGGAAGAAAACCTGTCAGTCTGTCTGTCTGTCTTACTCTTTTTCCTGCACTAGGTGATTTTGGCAGGTTGGAGGGTGCCTGTGGAAGATTCTACGTCTTCACTTTCTCTTTGTTGTTTCTGTCTTACTTTTTCCCCTTCACTTGTGACTATTATTGTGTCAATGTGCTTCTCTTAATGCAAAGAAACAAATCAGGTGATTGTTATTATGTTGATGTGTTTCATTTTACTGAAAACTCATAAGCTCAAATCTTCTTTTTGTTTCATCCTTCTCAGGATGTGTGGGCAAATGTGCCAGCAGTCCGTGCTTTAACCAGGGCACGTGCCGTGAGGGCTATTCCCACTACACGTGCGACTGCTCCTATACCCCCTGGCGTGGCTGGAACTGTGGAAGAGGTGAGGAGGATTAATTGTCCACTTATTATTAATTGTGGGAAAGTTCAGGAGCGTTAATTGAACATTTATTAACTGTGGGAAAGTTCAGGAGCGTTAATTGAAAATTTATTAACTGTGTGAGATGTGAAGAGGGTTAATTCTCAAGTAAAGGCCTCTAAATATTGAATTGCAGGCCTAATTTAGCTTACTGATCATTTGTTTGTTTTTTCTTCAGAGGTGGGCGTGAATCTGAAGAACAACTACATGATCAGGTACACTTTTGACGAGACTCAGGGTCTGTCTGCGTCCGACTTCCAGTTCGCTATGATCGGCTTCTCTACCAAGGTGAAACAGGGCATCCTTATGCAGATGAGGGATGAGACGAATTCCGAATATATCACAGTGGAGATCAACAACAATGGTATATCTTAATCATTTTGCTCATCTTTTTCTTTTCTTCCTTTTTTTTTCTTTTCTTTCTTCTCTTTCTCTCTCTCTCTCTCTCTCTCTCTCTCTCTCTCTCTCTCTCTCTCTCTCTCGTAATGCTCCTCTCTTTTACTTTCTTCTCTCTTCTTCCTGCTCCTCCTACTTCTACTCCTACACCATTTCTCTCTTTTCCATCCTCCTTCCTTCTTTTTCTTTTTTATATTTTCCTCTTTTTTACTTTCTTCTCTCTTCTTACTCCTCCTCCATCCCCCTCCTCTCCTACACCATTTTTTTCTCTTCCTTCCTCGTCTCTTTCTCTTTCTTGTTATTATCCTCTTTCTACATTTTTTCCCTTTTTTTTTGCTTTGTTAATTACATTCATTCTATGGTCTCATAGAACAGTTGACATGTGGGTGGTTGGTGGATGTCATGGAGTGGAATTCTCCTGTTTTATTGTTTATTTATTTTTTGATGATTCTGTTGTCCTAATCTTCTGGAAGGTGATTGGAGGGCAAGGCTGGCAGGTCCTTCTTCTGTTCTTTCCTCTGTTGTTTCTGTCCATCTGTTTTAACGTTTCTGGGCACTAAATGAACATAATTGAAAATAAAAAGAACAGATTTAAAAAAAACTCGGTATAAATAAAGAAGTTGTGTCTTTTTTGTTTAAAGATTAACAGCATGTCCTCAATAATCAGTTACCATGATACTCACAAATAAAACAACTAAAAATTCATCTTGTCATTCACACACACGCACACCCCCCCAAACCGTCACAGGTGGTGTGAAAGTGGCTATGGATATTGGCTTTGAGCGTGTGGAGGTGAACACCCCGATGGAGAAGAGCATTGACTACGCCAATAGCCAGGTTCATGTTGTGCGGATTGAGAGAAAACATTATGGGCGCTACATCAAAGTACAGGTGAGTAGTAGGTGGTTGGTTGGCGGTGCTTTGGTGTGGTCTGGTGTGTCCTATCAAACTTTTATTGTCGTTATTGCTCCTTCTTTTTTTTTCTTTTTTTTTACTTTCTTGTAACACCTCTAATCTTCTGTACTTGTTTGACCTATTCTGTTGCAAGAACGGTAAATCTCTTACTAAAACTGTTTTTTTGAATAGGTAGGCTATATACATAAAATCCTACAAATCTGCCATGCGGAAAATGGGAGTGTTCACAGCACTTCATGGTCCTCACACACATTTTGTGTACGTATGAGGCTTACGTCATAGCTTACCAATAATATTTTTTAATGACAAAATGCTTAAATGCAATAGCCTGATTGAACGACAAGTGAAATTGGAAAGAAGTTCTGCTTTTGCCTTTTGTTTTGGGCTTTTAGCCACTGTTCCATGTCTACTTTCCGACTGGATGATGTCGATGTTCTGACCTTGGGATGGAGATAAGAGTGGTAAGGAGGTTGAGTAAAAGAGGTTAAGCCAAAAAAAAAAATTCAGTAAAAACTTCCAAACTAGCAGGAAAATGCCTGTTTCTCCAATTTCGTCATTTCGACGAGCGCCTGATTTCACCACGCTGCCTCACATATATCAATTTATAATGAACACTTTATCACACTTACGGTTCACAAAACATGCGTACAATTAGCGTAATGTCACAATTAGTGGAGAGGACATACTTGCTGCTTAACTGATTCCGTCCATGATTTTTTCAGGCTCTGGACAGAGTTATTTTTCCCTGCTCAGTTTTAGACCTGGGGTGCATCTATTTAACGCATTACTGTGAAGCTCTAAGTCACTCTAATATGTATTGTCATATACCAAACTGATGGGAATAAATAGAAAAATCTGTTTATATCAATAACAATGACTTATAGTCTGTTTGTATTACAATTTCCTTCTGACAAAAACGAATGAGAAAAAAAAATTGTGCAACAGCGCTTCGAAAATTTCGACTTACTGCATTTTCTCAGCTCTACAAGTCCTTATAATCCATAGGAATCAACACAACGTTGTAGCGATATCACCCTAGCACACATTTATGCAAGAATTTCACAAATTTAGTAGAATATCTTTCTTTGAAGAGCCTTTTTATTATACCAGGCTCCGTGTTGTTTACCCTTAGATCTAGCCTACATCGCGACAACAAAACAACGATTTTTGCAAGAATTTCGCGGAGTTCCGATTGATATTGGCGCTCAGAGATTGAGGTCAGGTTTTTTTACAAGTTCTGCTTCCTTTCGACAACTTAAAAAGTAGGAACTATGTTAAAAAGTGCACCTTTGATTCGGATTTCGTTGAGCTGCTCACAGCGGCCGAATGGAGGCAACGGTAAAAACTCAGAGCCGCTGTCAGCGGCCGAATGGACGGAATCAGTTAAAGTGCTATTGTCTTAGCTCATGGGATATAGACAATTTAAATTCTGCAGAGGCCGCCTACTGGGATTTTTTACTAGTATTTATTAAGGAATTTCTTAGAATGCAGCAAATAGGCGTTTTAAAAAATGTTCATCTGTTAAGACAAATTGATACAAGTGGCTGTACAAAAGTTGGGGAGTTTTTATGGGATAATTGAGGAGATATTTGATAATTAGTTGCGCCACAAAATTTTGACTGCTCTATAATGCTAAAACTTCCTTTTCCTATTTGCTTTTACATGGATACCCCAGTCTCTAGTGTGAAGGCTGCTGTTCGCTGCAGGCCCTCCAGGCTCCCATCTGGTTTTGTGGCTCCCAGCTTTTGGTTGGGACTTGCTTTGGGCAGGCTTGTAGTAAATGGTTTGGGGCTGGTGGTTAAAGTGCACCACTGGCAGGTTCTTCTTCTTTAATTTCCTTCTGTCGCTTCTGTCTGTCTGTCTTACCTTTCCCATCTTTAAATTACCATTATTGTGTCATTGATGTGCTTCTCTTTGCTCTAACAAACAAACAAATAGTTTGCTGTTTGGCTCCCAGTTCCGCCTTGACCCTGCTCTGAGTTAGGGATTCAGAACTTTGTAAACCAAAACTAAACTCTACTTTTGTTGTGCAGGTTGATGACTACCCACCAGGAGAGGAATGGTTCTCTTCTACCACTAGTGGCTCTGACACCATCTTGGACGACCCAAAGTACCTGTTCATTGGAAATAATGGTAAATCTAACAACATGTTGGGCGTTGCTTTTTAACTTTTTGTCTCTGAGGGAGGTAATCAAACATCTATCATCCTTATCTCCCCTTCTTCTTTTTTATGTTTGTTACTCTCTTCTAACACCTCTAATCTTCTGGCGCTTATATGATCTTATGCTCTGGCGAGCGACATAAAACCTCTACTAAAACATCTTATTCAAAGGTCCCGGGTTCCAATCCAGGTTGCGACCAAAAAATTTTCTTCTCTAAAATTGTCTCATTTCACCTCCTTTCCTGCTCTCTAGAAATGTTCTGTCCTCTGCTTTCATCTCCTCTTTCTACCCTGCCCCCCCCCCCCCCCCCAAACCCCTTTGCCCCCCCCCCCGGCCTCTTGACCCTTTCCGGAGCCTTTTCACCGCAATTCCTTGGCCCCTTCTTACCGGGGGCGTTCACCTAATTCCTGAATCTTTTGGAGGAAAAAACTACCCCAAACCCCCTCGGAAAAAAAGGAAAAAAATTAAGAAGGGGGAATTGCGCGCTCGTTAAAACCGAGCTCTTGGTTGGCTAAAAAACATCCCCTTTTTCACCCCGGCCCCCCCCCCCCCCCCCAACCTCCTTTGCCCCCTCCTCTGGCCTCTTGACTCTTTCTGCAGCCTTTCTACTGCTATTCCTTGGCTCCTTCTTACTGCTGTCTTTCAGCCACATCCCTGATCTTCTGGTAGGAAAGATCTACTCCTAGCCTTCTCGGAAAAGGACGAAAAATATCAGAGGGCCGTAATTGCGCACGTTTAAGATCAGATCCCTTGGTGGTCTAAAATCGATTTAAAGAGTAAGCTCCAGCCGCCACTCGTGCAAATTTTGAAATTTCCTATCAACTGAAAAAGTTTAATGCGTCCCGCCCGCTCATATGACCTCATGCAGTTGCGAGCGCCGTAAAACACTTACATAAAGGAAAACAAAAAAAGGCCATGATAGTTTTTTAGCTGAACGAACTCTACAACACCATCCCCTTAGAAAATTAGCTGTTAAGTTTTAGAGCGCGCTCATATGACCTTATGCAGTTGCGAGCGCCGTAAAACCCTATACTGCTACTACTACTAAAAAGTTTTAGCATGAAAACTAGCACCTCAGAAAGGCACTGTTCGAAGAAAAGTATTTTTTTATAGCGTACTACCATCATTTGGAGCTGTTGGGATTGACATTAGATGCATGAAATAAAATAGAAATCTTTATTTTTTTTAAAAATATTATTTACCCAGATAGACGAAAATCGGCTCAAACCTCAGCAGGCAGTCTCCTTAAATCGAAATAGGTGAACTTATTTGATAGTTTGTCATCTAATGAATTAACTCCAAGTAAAACTGACCGAAACCAGTAATTACTGAAAAGTAATTTGAAGTTGGAAGTAGTCATAAAGGAATGTGCCATAGACGCTGCCAGCGGCTTGCTGGAGATCAGGAGTTAAATAATAATAATAATAATAGATAGCATTTGTATAGCGCATATCCCCGCTCAACAGCAGACTCTATGCGCTTTAAAACAAGGAGTTAAAACACTTTGATGTGGGAGTTCTTCGAGAAAAGTCTTTCTTATATTCCATCCGTAACTTTCATCTGTCTTGCTCTCTCCTAGCATTAAATAATAGTTTTTGTGTTGATTTGCTTCTCTTTTCTCATATTTATGCCTGTTTTCTGATGTGGTTTGCTTTTTTCCTGTTGAACATCTATCGTCCTTACCTTATCTCTCCTCCTCTTTCTTGTCTTGGTATGCTACTCATTTAAAATGCCTAATCTAAATAACACTTATTTCTGCGTCTAATACGTCTAATAATAGCATGCTGTAAAATTCTTTTGACACCTAAGACCAAACAATGCATAATGCAAGCCTGATCACCCCCGCAGACACCTCAAATACTCTGACGGGCTTCGAGGGCTGTATCTACAGGATGCAGGTGGATAACATTTTCCCGCTGAAAAGGACATTCCAGGACCCACGGCCAGATTACATTTCACTCACGCCTGAAGAGAAGGTAAAGATTGTGTGGTTTTATTTGTTTGTTTTTTCTTATGCAGAGATGTTGTTACACCCTTATTGACACAATTTAGATCATTTGAGAGGCAGGTAATGACCCTGCCTGTCAGCGCTGAGCTGGACTGAGAGGTATACAACATCCCAGCAAAAACACTGAGATACTCGATAAAAGTTCTCCCCACTCTTGATTCAAACTCAGGTCTCCCACGTGTGATGGCAAAGTGCTTAACTGCTACTACAAAATCTAAGGGCAACTAAACATTTACTCTAACTTGACCTTGTCTGTCCTATCAGGTGGGTGATTGGTGGTTGCTCAGGTTTGGTTCACTCCTTTTTTCCTGTCTAACATCCATCGTCCTATCACTCCTTTGGGGTTTTTTTTTAATGTCACTCCCTAGTAACTCCTCAAATCTCTTGGCACCTGCATGACTTAATTGTGTCTAATTGTATTGCAAGTGCCAAAAAACTTGAACTAGTGGGTGGTTGATGGATGCTCTGGTGTGGTTTGGTCCCTCTTTCCTATCCAACATCTATTGCCCTTATCACTCCTTTTTTCTTTTTTTTTTTGGTTACATTCTTGTAACACCTCTAATCTTCCTCACTTATGACTTAATTGTGTTGAAAGCGCTGTAAAATTCATACTCAAACCAAACTAATCCCTTCAGGTGCAAGAAGACATGTGTGGCTTTGAGGAAGTGACCGTGTCTCCAGAGCCAGTCCGACGCCGGCCATACAGCGGAGTGCCATTAAATGTCACGTACAAACGAGACCCCCAGGCCACTTTGTCGGACGAAGAGAAAGTTTTGGTGGGAGGTGAGAGAGCATCATTAACTTTGTGCTTGTGCAATGAGTTATTCCTAACAAGAGGCCCAATAATACAATCCTCTGCTTTATTGCCCAGGCACCTTCTTGCTCATTTTTGGTGGGAGGTGAGAGAGAGCATCATTGACTTACCCTATGAGTAATTTGTAAGATGGATGGATGGATAAGTGGGAAACCATCTGTCTTGTCTAATCACAGTGGCACAAAGCCGTGACCTATGACAGTGAGGTTTTTGAGAAAAACAAAGTTTGAAAAGCGGAGAGGCAAGAAAGTTAAGACATTCGAATCCTGATGTTGACATTAGGTCTACAGACTACAAATGCTCTTCTTTGCCGAAAATTCTTCTAAAAAATAATAGCGTGTGGAGGTCACAGTCAAAGTGTAAACAAGTACCGGTGCCTGTATGTTGAGGCAGTTAAGTACATCACTTTAGAAAAAAGAAAGGCGCTGCTTTTGGCAAGTTGTGGCTTTTGTGGTCATTAAAAAAATGCTTGTGATTATTTTCTTTCCTTTTTTTTCTCTTTGCCTTACTAGCTTCCTATGGCAGCTAGCAAGGTCTATAAACTTTATTTTCCTTCTTCGACATAAAAGGCTTTGTGATGGACAAACTTTTTTTTGGTCCCGTGTCCTGATTTTGGTGCTGATATTTGTATGTTACTTAAAAATGTATTGACATGGTGCAAGTTGATATGTTTCAGGAACAGAGAAACAAGAAAAACTCAACGAGAAAAGGGGGAATTGTTTAGTCGGTGGTGATGGTTGTGATGGAAAACTTTTATTAATTTATTGACTATTATTATTTTGAATTGTTAGAGCTGCAAGAGGTACTCTACAATGTCTGTTCTATTGCAGAAGCACCTACGTCGTTTTTAGAAGTTTTGAGAAAGTGGGGAAGAAAAGAGAGTTCCCAAATCTGATCCATGTCTTCGGCACTCAGTAATTTTCAGTTAAACTAAGAGGAAGATAATGAATCTAAAGGAGACTATTTTGTTAGATGTCCTTTGATGTCTTTATTCAAATAACGGTATTCTCTGAAAATCCGAATTGACTTGGGAGATTGTGGAGTAATGCTCCTGATGGAGACTTCTCTATGACCTTTGACCTTTTTTGAGGTTGTCTAGTTAACCTGTGGCCTTTACCATACTGCTTTTCCTTCTGTAATGAAGGATCTTGATGCTTTTTTTGTGTGTGTGTTCTTCCTATAGACCTTTATTTTGTGTATGCTTTCCCTATATGCAGGTATTTTTACATAAATATATGTGGGGGCTCTCGTGGCCTAAAGGTTTAAGGTGTTCGCCTCTCATTCAAAGGTCCCGGGTTCAAATCCGGGTAGCGACGGAAACGTTTTCTTCTCTAAAATTGTCTCCTTTCACCTCCTTTCCTGCTCTCTTGCAACATTCTGTCATCTGCTTTCATCTCTACTTTCTGCCCCCTCCTCTGGGCTCCTGACTCTTTCTGCAGCCTTTTTACTGCTTCTCCTTGGCTCCCTCTTACAGCTTTCTTTCAGCCACACTCTTGATCTTCTGGTGGGAAAGATCTACACCTAGCCTTATCGGACAAGGGCGAAAAATCTCGGACGTTCCGTGTTCCCATGTTGGCATACTGTCATTACATGGATAGCTACATTTCCCCTAATTCAGCTTTTGAAAAGTCGGCATGCCTGCAGTACAATTCATTGGTGTGGCAGGCTGTCAATACAGTTCATTGGTATAGTGGAATATAAATGCCAAAGGATGTTCTTTATGCACGGCGCACGAAATCAGCTGAAATCGCGCCTTTTAATTGTACCGCGGCTCCTGCCGCCCGGCGGTGATTTATCACCTCGCCCGGTATCTGTTGACCTTTTTTATTGGGGTCATTTGACCCCGTCCCACCGTTATAAACTGGGGTGCGTTCTTGATAAAATCGTCTCATTTACTGTCTAAATTACAGTGGTGCAGTAAGACCCATCAAGTAGTTTTAATTTATAGACTTTAGCAACACCATTTCTCAACCTTTAAAAGAAAGTCCCAGTCTTCTACGTGTTATACCAAGTGTTCTACACGTGTCTGTTTGCTGCCTGTGTAACACGCTTTTCTTATTTCAAGCTGAGGATATATAATCATTTATTACAACAAAACGGTGCATTGAATTTTGGGGGGGATTCGATTTGTGAGTTCATTAATAAATCATGTTTTGAGTGTATAAATTTCAGTACTACCACAGTTGTGGTTGTTAAGCTACATCGGATTATTATGTTGGGCCGCCGAATTTACTAACGTTATTGCCGTATACAACGAAGACCTTAAAATGGAGCACACCCCTGAAAGTCATGTATCCGCTTTAAACTGTCTGTGTAGAGTGTGCGGAAGACTGAACATTACAGGAAAGCAGAGAAAATCCTTTAAAAAGCCGTATTTGTGTTCGGAAAT